GCTGGCGGCGAGTGCGCGGAGTCATGCTGTGAACTGGATACGCAAGGGTGTTTGCAGTGAGGGGCGTCCGTGTGTTACATTCAGCTGGTGTGCAATCCCTGCACTTGAGGGCACAAGTCCAGGGTCCATGTGCAAAGTGCCAGTCCCTGGATGAGATCCCAGTATCCTCTTTGCCCAGAGGACCACACTGCTCCCCCCTGCCAGGTGTGGGCCAGCCCTTCTCGCTTTTCCTGACCATTGACTTTGGGCTCTGGCTTCATAAGCCCCAGCCAGCATGACCCATGGAGGGCCAGGAGAGCCATGGGCGGGAGCCCTAAACTGCCGTGGAGGTTTTAGCCTTCCTCAGTGCCAAAGATGTCTAGCCAGGCAGGCAGCCAGTCCTGCTTGCGCACAGCTGTGCTTGGAGTTACCGAAATGACCATAAAAGCAAGTGGTCCAGTTGCGCAGAGTGTGTGTTGCCTGTTTTTTCATTATCTGCCCATCGAAACCCCAATTATGCAACACTGAAGACTAAATAGACGTCTAATGTTTTCAGGAAAGCATTTATTTAATAAGGAAGGGGGCGGATGCAGTGGGAGAAAGGCCCGTGCTGTGCTGGGAGCCATGTGCACATGTCCCGGGTCATCCCCGCCAAATACAAAGAATGGGGTGCTTTTGCGTGCTTTTTACGGGAGCCGCCACATTGCCTGAAGAGCTGAGGGGTGCAAGCAGACCTTGTGTACTGGGCATTTTTAGGATGTGCGAGCCACTTGTGGGCGGGTGGGGGAGGGATCTTTCATTCTTTGAAATGTTTAAAATAATTGCAGCAACTCTTGAACCACGGATGGCCATAGAGCCGCTCGCCCTTCGCACTGGGGGCTGAGCAGGGAGGGCAGTTTGCCTGCCCTTCTGTAACCCGGGAGGCTCCTTCGGAGGGCTTAAGATGCTCTGGATCCAGGGCTGAGAAAGCAGTCCCAGCCCCTCTGGGGAATGCGGCTTAAGCCCCCCGGGGGGGTCGTCCTGCCTCTGCCCCTTCCAGACCCTCCTGTAGCTTTGAGAAAGGCACCACCCTGAGCTGTGAAGCTCTCTGCCCTCGCCACATTCATCTAAGGAAGTAGTGTTGATCGCGATGATTCTCTGATCAAAAAAATAAAAAGTGAATCAGGCTCCTTGGATAAAATCACAAGCTGCCTCGCTGTAGAGGCGGAAAAGTACAGAACAAGCACACCTGCGATTTTGCAAGTAGTGCAGAGAGTGCGCCCCTCCCTCCTTGTCCCGGCCTTCCTGGAAGAGCTCAGATGAAGGGGGGCCGCTACCCAACGCCGGCGAAGACCTGGCAGCTCTCTGCAGGGTTGGTCTTCTTCACCACTCTGATCGAGCAGGATTGCCGGTGGAACATGGCGACGCAGACCCTCTTGTCGTAGTTGATGGGTCTGGAAACGCTGAATAATTGAGACAGGGTTGGGCGTGAGGGCCGGGCGGCACCAGCGTTGGCAGCATGGCCAAAATTGCCCCCCCCCCCGAACCGGCACTTACAGGCTGCAGCAGATCAGCTCCGTGGCTTTGCACTCGCACCTCAGGCAGGTGCTGGCTTTCCACACGGCAGCAACGCGGTGCCACTGTCCGTCATGAAAGCAACCTGGAACAGGCGGAGGAGGCGGGCAGTGCAGGGACGGCGCCTCGCCGGGAGACCCGAGGCGAAAGCGCGCCTGTCCAGGGTAGCGCTGCATCTTGGGTTGCCTCGTGGACGTGCACCAGTCAGGCCAACGCACATGCGATGCCTGCGACCGGGAGGAGGAGGAGGAAGGCAGCTGTGTGCCTGGGGGGATGGACAGTGTGGCTGCGGCTGCCCAGCAGGTGGGGAGAGGAGAGGAGGGGAAGCGCCCGCAGCCGCCTGCCTTCCCCGCTCGGCGCCCCAGTGGGGCCGCGCTGGGCCTTCCGTTCTGGTGGCTTCAGCACAGCCTTCCCCATCCTGGCGCCCTCCGGATGCTCCGGACTTCAGCTCCCCTCAGCTCTAGCCATCTTGGCCAATGCTCAGGAATGCTGGAAGCTGTCGTCCGAATCATCCGTAGGACACTCACAGTTGGAAAAGATTTTTAAGAGGAATCAGGACTTCCGTCTCTAAGGACTGGCTCAGCTGTTCTAAGCAGGACACATCTGAACGTGCAGAGTGAGCAGGAATTCCTACCTTTCTTGCCGGCGGGTTTTACCAAGCACTGGGCTTCGCATATGGCATACAAGGCGGCGGCGACCAGCAGGAAGAGCAGCCAGAGCGTCTGCAAAATGGGAGAGGCGGGTAGGAGGGTCACGGCACGGAGAAGGCTGCCTGTTGGGATGAGCGGGGCCCTCATGAGCTCCTGCCAGGCTCCCGGGGAGCGCATCGCCCCCCAGTGCAGAGGCACCTGAAAGCTTGTGGAAACGGAGACTCCGCTGGCCAGGGATCTGAGCTCTGTGAGGAAGCATGTCATGCGGAAATCTGCATGCATCACTTCGAAGAAAGTGTTCATAAGGCCGGGCTGAAAATCAGATGGGAATGCAAGCTAGTAAGCGCAAGACGCCCTGCGCTACCCGGGAAAGCCCCCTGAGCACTCACCATCGCTGCAGTGCCACGCACGGCGCCGCTTTGCAGCCCGAGCTCCGTGAATTTATACCGTAGCTGCAAAGCGGAGCTGCCAAATTGCGCCCTCCCCGCCCCGCTTGAGCAGGCCTGGCAGGGGGCTGCTGGCCTCCTTGGTCCTGTCCCTGCTCAGGAGGGGGCACTTTCAGCACCGCTTCTGGAGCTGGAAGGGAGCAGCGCAGGCAGGGGCAGCCACCTGCCTTCCTCCCCTGCGGCCACTGAGCCTTGGCCCTGGGGGAAGGCGGGGGGGGGGGGTCCTGGCAGGCCATCAAAGGAGTGGCGCCAACCAAGGGGCGTGTGGGGCCAGCCCGTGTGCTCCCAGTGTGAGCAGGCTTTTCAAAGGTGAACCAGGACGTCTGAATGGAGCCAGGAGTGGTGCCTGGCAGGTGCTTTGTTATGCGCTTTTGCAGGGATGGGCACAACAATGCAGCCTTTTGTTTCGAGACCATTGATTCTAAAACATGGGAACATAAAGTTATTCCTTTAACTTGATGGCTGCATTTGCTTGCAGCTTTCCAAGCTGTTCCAGAAAAACACCTTGACAAAAAAAAATTACCCCAGTAGCTTGAATTACTGGGAGAATTCCCCCGCTGGCATGTTATCTTTCCCTTGACAGCAGCTCCACATCGTGGAAAGGGCCAGAGGGCCCGTGTGGCCCAGCGAGATCTCATGGCAACCTCCGGACATCTTTGGTAGTAAACCTCAGGCAGTGGGGAGCAGCACCAGGCGCAGATTCAGGCCTGAGCGAAGGAGAGACGAGCAAGAGAGGCTGTGCAGAAGAGGTCCGGGCGCAGGCAGGCAAGTCTCATGCCACCGTCTCCTCTCTTGCCCATCCTCCTCAAGGCAGCTGCTTTGGCACGGTGTGCATGGAGTGCTGGCCTGGATGGACAGTGGACCCAGGCCAGCAGGCCTTTTCCTCTGTTCCAGAATCACGAGCGAGCGCGTTGAGGAGGATGGGGCCCAGGGCCGAGCCCTGCGGGACCCCAGTTGCTGCCCTCCCCGGTCTGAGAGGGTGCCCTTGGCGAGCGCCCTTCGAGTCCGATTCTGCAGCCGACTGCGGATCCACTGGATAGTTGCTGGATCAAGTTCTGTCCAGGGCGCTCCAACAGTCCATAAGGGAGGTCACCTTATGGGATTGCAAGAGGTTGGCAGGAGTTGTTCTCACCAGTTCATGCCGTGATGAGGCCTCTGTGGGGAATGACGCCCACCCCGTACTGAAGAATCTCCAGCCACTTTGGAGGGAGGCTGTGGCTGGGCAGCGAGGGGTTTCGTGGAGCCAGTTCTCTCGGCATGGCCTGATTTGCTAGTTGCTGCAGGGTTCTGCTATTTCTTCCTGCAGCTTTATAATTTCCAGGTTAATTTGCATATAATGTTTTACACGGTTAATTTGTGGCTTATTTGTTAGAGGCCTTGAGCTGCTCAGAGGAAAGGCAGGGTGTTCTTGGTTTAAATAAACAAACAAGCAAAGAAACTCATGTCACCTGATACAGGTATATATTGCATTTAATGGGTTTTTATAATGCCTTGCAGCAGAAATTATCCTGCAAAGCAATTAGTAATGGCCAGTAAATGCCATAATGAGACCACAGAAAGGTTTTTTAAAGTACATAAATCAATAAATCCGATTAATTTATCAGACGAAGATAAGTTTGCAACAGCCGCAACAAACGAAATATTGGCAGCACGCAAGAGCCGGCCGGGCAGAAAAGGCCTCGAGAGTCGCGCAACGGGCACGAGAGGGGCCGGCGAGCGCTCGCTGCGGTGCCTCGCAGGTCACCCGGCCACGCGAAAGATGTGCTCCCGGCCGCCGGGTCAGCTCCGCCGCGCTCGCTGCGCCGCGGCCAAGAGCGCGGCCCGGGGCGCCCTCCCGAGGAACGGCGGCGGCAGCGCAGGCCAGCGACCGCGGGGCCCCGCCCCCAGGAGCGGCCCCCGCGCGGGAGGAGGAGGCGGAGGCGGAGCCTCGCTCGCCCCTCCCACTCGCCCGGCCCCCTTGCTCGGCCCGCCCCCAGGAGCTGTCCCCGCGCGGGAGGCG